ACACCACCACCTACACCAACACCTCTACACCACCCCTACACAACACACCTACACCAACACCTCTACACCACCACCTGCACCAACACCTCTACACCAACACCTCCACCACCACACCAACACCTCTACACCACCACCTACACCACACCTCTACACCACCACCACCACACCAACACCTCTACACCACCACCTGCACCACCACCACCTCTACACCAACACCACACCACCAACACCTCTACACCACCACCTGCACCAACACCTCTACACCACCACCTACACCAACACCTCTACACCACCACCACCACCCAACACCTCTACACCACCACCACCACACCAACACCTCTACACCACCACAGGAAAGAGTGGGGGGAGAGTGTGGGTGGGAGAGTGTGGGTGGGAGAGTGTGGGTGGGAGAATGTGGGTGAGAGAGTGTGGGGAAGAGTGGAAAAGAGAGTGGGAAAGAGAGGGGGGAGAGTGGGAGAGACACAGTAAGGGGGGATAGGGAGAGGGGGGGACCTACCATGTTTAATTGGATTCCCCTCCGCCATCCCTCTAATTGTTACCTCAATTGCTTCCAATCTGGCTGGATGGAAGGAAGAAGGGTGAAGCGAAGATTAAGGAATGTGCAGGGGGGGGGGGGAAAGGTCGAAGGAAGAGAAACAGGGAAAGAATAGAGTGAAAAGAATAAAGGTTAGAGATGAAGTAGAAGCGAGGAAGAATGAAGAGGGATGACAAGGAAAAAGTTTGTAAAGGGTGATAATAGCGAGGGGAGAGTATTAAGAGAGAGGGAAAGGGTAACGAAAAGTGGAGAGAAGAAACCAGAGCAATGTGGGAAAGATGTGTGGGCGGGAGGGGGGGGACCCAGTTAATTTATGCTGCCTCCCATCTCATATAGTTTATCCTGGGTCGAGCCAAACAAAACAGGGATAACCAACACTGGATTAGAGATTCACATCATCTCTCCCACACATACGACAAGGATACCTCCTGCTTTTATCCCAAGGAAAACCTAGTATGGCACCGCACAACCCTCAACACCACACTTTGGGTAAAGAGTCGGCAAACCCTTTATTTGGGGCAGAGCTTGGGGACTGTGGTGTCCCTATGCCCCAGAGGTAACAATAACAAGAGCATAGTAACAATAGCACACAGCAGCAGCAGCAGCAGCAGCAGCAGTGTGCAGTAAGGTTAGACAGCTAGGAAATTACATTTTTTCCCACCACTGTGAAGCAAGCCAATACAGCAGGTGTGGAGAAGACTTTGTTCACAAATTATAGGTAGAAACTCTGGGAAGATTTTCACAGTTACCCAGACAAAGTAATTATGGAATATATATTTTACCTCTTTTTGCTGTGGCATCATATTTTCCATTTTATTCTCACCAAGGGTTAAAATGGTGATACAAATTTATATATTTTGTGGGCGTTTTTTTATTACGTTTCTATAAGAACATAATTGTTCCAACCATTTGACTGAAAGTCGAAAATAAAAATCCAATAAATTTAAATGTAGTCTTTTGGGTGGAACATGAACAAAGGGACAAAGGTGGAAACTGAATACCCAAATGAGCCACAGAGACTCTGAAAGAATTTTTTAAGTGTCAGAGTACTTAACAAATTGAATGCAGTAGGAAGTGATGAGATGTAAGCAAACTCCATATACATTTTAAATCTAGATTTGAAACCGAGTCCAATGAACTCAGAAACCCGTATTGTACATCAGTCGATTGACAGTTAGGAGGATGGACAAAAGAGCAAAAGCTCAACCCCTACAAGCATAACTAGGTGAGTACAACTAGATGAGCACACATCAGGAAGGGGTAAAGTCCACCAGGACCCAAAACAGAGCACAACTGACCCGAGCCTGGTCAACCCATTAACAGGTGACAAGTACAATAAAACCTTAAAGTCAAACACCACCAAAAGCCAGAGTAAACAGAAGAATATATATGAGGGGAGTTATTCACCAGGAAGAATGTACATAAGGGCTACACCCAGTAAGAATGCACCTGAGAGGGAGGGGCTACACTTAGGAAGACTGAATATGAGAGGGCTACATCCTGGAATAATGTACATGAAACATAAAAGGGGCTGTACTCAAGAAGAATACACATGATTGGGCTACACACAGGAAGAATGTACAAGAGGGGGCTACACCCGGAAGTATGTACAAGAGGGGGCTACACCCGGAAGTATGCACAAGAGGGGGCTACACAAGGATGAGAATACACTGCAGACCTAGGGGCTGAGGAAGTTGGCTATCATCACTCATGGTAAGGTTAGATTCCTGGAGTAATTAATGATATAATTACACTGTAGGAACACCAAAAATAAATAATAATGACACACTCACCTCTCTTAATTACCAAAAAGCTATTTGTTCTTACCTCAATAAATCTCTTCCCCTCTGGCCTCCCCATTATCTTTCTCCCCTCTCATTTCCTCCCTTTTCCATCTCCAAACTTTCTAAATTCCCCTTCCATTATTAAGCTCTACCTTTCATTGACAAAATACTTTGTCTACCTCACTCATTTTTGCCTTTCATTTTAATTTTTCTGTTTGTTTTTGCATGTATTCCTTCTGTATATGTTATACTTCTTCTCTTTTACATGTTCAAGAACTCTAACTCTTCCTACCTTCATTCCTCTTACTCTCTTCTCTAACTTTTTCTGATCTCTCACTATCAACATAACCCAGTTATGGTTATTGTTAAATATCTTATTCATTTATTTTCCATACATTTTTTTATGTATTTTTTAATTAATTTCAATGTATTTTTCCTTTATGCTTGAATAATTTTGGTAATTAATTTGTTGTCAATGTTGATTTAATAATAAAAGAAACTATTTACCCACTTTGTAATGAGGTTTGTCTCATGCCAACCATAACATAGGAGGCCTGATAACTGAGTGGACAGCGCCCTAGACTCATAATCCTAGGGTCCGGGTTCGATCTCCAGTGGTGGCAGAAACAAATGGGCAGTTTCTTTCACCCTGAAAGAATGCCCCTGTTACCTAGCAGTAAATAGAAACTTGGGAATTAGACAGCTGTTATGGGCTGCTTGCTGGGGAGGGGTGTGTGTGAGAGAGAAAAAAAATAGTAGTAGTTAGTAACAGTTGATTAATTGACAGTTGAGAGGCAGGCCGAAAGAGCAGAGCTCAACCCCCGCAAGTACAACTAGGTGAATACAGTACAGCTAGGCAACTAGGTGAATACAACCCTCCGTCTTCATCTAAAAGTTTCCTCCTACACAACTCCCATTTACACTTTTCTTCTGACAGCTGCACGACCAGGAGCTTCTGGATAATACTAAGTTCTGGATAATACCTAAGTTCTACAATACTAGTATCTAAGTTCTACACAACTAGTGCTTAAGTATTGTAGTATAGTTTGATGACCATGAGTGGTGTCCTCAGGAAACATGAATGTACAGAGAATTTGAAAACTATCTCATATAAACCAAATATGTAAAAGTTTGTGAGAAATTTGGATAAGTAAAGCTGTTGAAACCCACTGTCGGCTCCTAGTTTAAAGTCTAGGGGAAGAATCATTACAACAGTTTTGACCAAATAGACTGAATACAAGAGCATATGCCATAGAAAATTGCTGAAACTATGCTAGAGTTTTAAGAAAATAACAAAATATGAAAGTTTTTAAAGACAGGGTGTGGATCAAGTTGCTATTTAAAAAGAATGGCAAACAACAACAACAACAGAGATGACCACCACAATTGGAGACGACAACACAAACAAAAGTTCGATTTTGCTGACTTTAACCCTTAAGCTGCTAAGAGGTCAAGTCAACAAAAGTTTGATTTTGCTGGCTTTAACCCTTAGGCTGCTAAGGGGTCCTAAAGGATTTAACAAATGTATTAAATAGTGACGAGGATGGAAAATGTTGGTCATTAAGACAAGGTCTTTGAAAGGACCTTGTCAAAAGTCCTGGACAGAAAGGAAAGGACAGAAAGGAAAGGACAGAAACTGAAACCAAACCTCGACGAAGCAAAACATTTAAATAAGGGTAAGAATGAGGAAGAAATATTTATTTTTACACTGGGATGGAGATTGGGAAGCCTGTGAAATGGTACATAAAAGTAAACCAACAAAATCATTAAAGGAAGGAGGGGGGCGGGAGAGTGAGAGCAAAAGTCGAGGGAACATGGTCCTGAAAATTGTGTATACTAACATACATGGGACAAGATCAAATATACTGGGAATATACCTCTCCTCCTGCCACTGCATATATATGTTACCAAACCACACCATACACATCCCACACTAACTCCCCTCTCCCATTCTTGCTGTGTTCTTTCTTTCTTTCTTTCTTTCTTTCTCTCTCTCTTTCTCTTTCACTCTTTCTCTTTCACTCTTTCTCTTTCACTCTTTCTCTTTCACTCTTTCTCTTTCACTCTTTCTCTTTCACTCTTTCTCTTTCACTCTTTCTCTTTCTCTTTCTCTTTCACTCTTTCTTTCACTCTTTCTCTTTCACTTTCTTTCTTTCTTTCACTCTTTCTCTTTCACTCTTTCTCTTTCACTCTTTCTCTTTCACTCTTTCTCTTTCACTCTTTCTCTTTCACTCTTTCTCTTTCACTCTTTCTCTTTTCACTCTTTCTCTTTCACTCTTCTCTTTCACTCTCACTCTTTCACTCTTTCTCTTTCACTCTTTCTCTTTCACTCTTTCTCTTTCACTCTTTCTCTTTCACTCTTTCTCTTTCACTCTTTCTCTTTCACTCTTTCTCTTTCACTCTTTCTCTTTCACTCTTTCTCTTTCACTCTTTCTCTTTCACTCTTTCTCTTTCACTCTTTCTCTTTCACTCTTTCTCTTTCACTCTTTCTCTTTCACTCTTTCTCTTTCACTCTTTCTCTTTCACTCTTTCTCTTTCACTCTCTTTCTCTTTCACTCTCTTTCTCTTTCTCTCTCTCTCTCTCTCTCTCTCTCTCTCTCTCTCTTTCTCTCTGTCACTAACTTACACACTAACACGAAAGTGTAGCTATATAACCCTACCTTGGATTGCCGCGAAGAGCTGCATGATGAAGGGAGTTAAAGCCATTGTTGTTGGTAAGAGTGATGTCAGCTGCGTGATCCAGTAGAAGAGTCAGGATATCATCTCGCTTTTTAGAGACAGCATCATGGAGCGGAGTGTCACCCTCATGGTCCTATAAAATGAAATACAAATGATTGTTTTCCTTATTTTACATAACTAAAGAAATTATGCTCTGAATATAATATAGATCATAAAATTCAGAACTTATCGTGCTAGACTCAATCCCGATTTGTGTGAAATACGGATTTCAGAAAGTCTGTCCTTTTTAATTCTTCTTAAGAGATCTGACCATCTTTCTTCTTTCCATTACTCTCTACTACTGTTTCCACTATTGTTTTCTTCACTTTTTATATTTGCATAGTATTGATCCCTAATATTTAGTTTCCTTAACCACTTCAATAGCCTATTACCATTTGGAATCTTACACTCTATTATGATTGGTTATTCTTATTCAGTATGGTAAAACAAAATCTACCCTGTCACTCTCCCACATTTAAAACACTATCTCATTAAATTTATTAGCATTTGACTAATTATATTTTCTTTCACACAGTGTTGAATTCATTTAGTACTTTCTCAGCTGTTTTACTTTTGTCATCGTACCATGAGAAAACAAACTATCCATATCAATAATGACTTCAATCCACTCCAGTGTGACTGCTACCCTGCCAATTATTGCTTCCATTTCCCAAACTGTCTCATCAATAGTCTTCTCTAGTGCATTCAAAAAATCTTAGAAATATAACAAAACATTGAATAACTCTAGCACATATATAAACACTAAAAATATGTGATCACTAAAAGATTATTCAATCTTTTTCAACTTTATAAATGTTTTCCTCACATTTTAAAAGGTCTTTGTCTCTTCTATATAAGTTAAGGCTGTTTTAATATACAGTACTGTAAATTACTTTATTGTAAATCTCTTTCAGGTCTATGAATACCATATACTACGTAACTTCAATTTCTTACAGATAAGATACACTTGAATACAAAAATATGAACTCACCTGGAGACTAGGATGACCTCCAAGCTCAAGAAGTGTCTTCACAACACCAACATGCCCCTTGTTGACTGCAACATGGAGAGGAGTCTGGCGTCGTTTACTGCGTGCATTTAAGTCTGCACCAGCACTGGCCAGGATCTGAACAACACCAGGCTCATCACCATAGGCAGCATGATGGATAGCACGGTCTCCGTCTTTGTCCTGCACCGAAAGAAAATAACGATGAAGAAATAATGCAAAATATAAATAAACATATACAATAAATGCGAACAAGCCTGAATGGTCCCCAGGACTATATGCGACTGGGTCACATATAGTCCTATATGTGTCACTTCTGGGGTGTGAGTTTTCAGTCATATACAATAAAGTATATATGAATGTACAATATAGATAATATATAACTGTGTAAATGTATGTATCTGAAAATTTGACATGCATTCAGATACCGTTGAATGGATTTTGACCAAATCTAGCTCAATGGTTGACAGCCTTTAAGAAGAGGATGCAGGCTATAACTGGGTTTTGCCACAGGCTCTACAGGCCGTGGCAGGTCCTCTATACACATAAATATTGTCAAATGACCTGTGAATGAGTGTTTACTGGAGATTTCAATGAACAAATTTCCATTTGTCTTTTGATTACATCTCATATGATATTCCTTTTCATTATAAAAGAAGCCTGTAAAAGAAAGAATGAACAAAAAGATACATCTTTTGTCTATCCCTTCTTATCAATGCTCTTGCCTTTGCGACTATATAGTTTCATAATCTGTTCACGCAGAAGCATGGGGATGTTTCAAGGCTAAGACTTCATTTCCTTATTTCCTTCTCCATTCCTTATATATCTCATTTTTGTCTAATGAGGTGCATTTCTGACAACTCCATGTCCTGGCTTGCCATTTTTGCACAACTTGTTATAGCTCACATTGGGCTAGCATCCATCTGACAGATGTAATCAAGTTCTTTGTCTGTTGGGAAATTTTCCAATGTAAATAAATGTAAACTTGTAAATGGTGGAACTGATCGTTTTGCCTGCATTTGTGTCAGAATATGTGGCCCAGGACAAAATGTCTGTGCTATTTTTTTGTGTTTCAGGTGCCAACTTCTTCACTGTGGACCTCACCTATGCTATATTGTGTACATGGTGTTGGGTTATGAGTCTGCCCAAACCCTCTTACTGCTACTTCCTGCTTCACTGTGGGTACGTTACAGTGGGTCCTGGATGATTCACATGTCATTTCAGCAAATTCCACAACTTGTTTTGGCTGTCTTAATCCATTCATTGAAAGGAGAGTGAAGAAATTATTTGTAAACACTGTTTGGTGTGAGCCTGTTGCTTCAACTGCTTTTGAAGTAATTATTCATCAATAATCAGATGTTCCTGCCCTGCCCACATTCCTTGCTCATCTATCTGGGTGTCAACTGTGGCTCACCAGACGATTTTTAGTCTTTTATAACTGGTTTTCATGAATTGCTAGGATGCCCACTGCATGTCCTCATCTGTCTAAAATTTGGGGATTGGCTGGAATTTTGGGTTGCGCATTCACTTACTCTGCCCAAATGTTTCTCTAAGAAATTAATTTGACTCCTGGAGCTTTCTCTGGTCAGTACCAGAATTGTTGTTCTTAAATTTTAGCTTTTGAGATTATGGGCTTACCTAGCTGATTGCTTCATCTGTGTTTTCCATTTGATGAAGAGCATATTCAGCTTTATGGTAACCATACTGACATTCTTGCTCCAGCCAAAGCAGGATTGTGATTGAATTGAATTCATCTTGGATACCAGGGACCCTGTCTTTTCCTCCTGAGAACAGTGTTTGTTCAGCTATTTCCCAGTCGTTGCCTTCAGCCATGGTATCAATTCTCACTTTTCAGGCTTTTGTCCTCATACCATGTCTACATTTAACCCTTAAACTGCGCATGGCGTATATATACGCCCTGAGTAACATGTCCCATGGTGCGCATGGCGTATATATACGCCATAGGGTGCCAGGCCTGATTCAAATGGCCCGCAGCTACACGGGGTTCACAGTAGCTTCCTCAGGGCTCTTGTAAACAGATGCCATTTTAAAAAAAAATCGTGGGCAATATTCTCAGGTGTGAGAGGCACAGTACTGTTGGAGCAACCAAGGCCGGCGCACGCAGCATGAGCGAACAGCATTGATGTTCAGCTTGTGACCACAGCATCGCCGAAAAATGTCAAAATAAATATATAATTGTTATTATTTAGCGATGACAATATTACAGATGACCAATGACTGTGATATAAATAACCAGGGTTGTGATAATAGCAGGATTGTTGTAATAATTAGCGCTGTGGGAGGAGTGATGCCGAGAGACGGAGGGAGACAGCATCGTTTACTGACTGTGTGGCCACCTGTTATTGTCCGCATTCACCATACCAGCTCAGTGGTTCTCTATGGTGAACACAAATGTAGATACTTATATATAATGTGTGTATTAGTGTAATAACAGCAAAAGGATTATGCTGGGAGGAGCCATATGGGTGACGGAGGTGACGTCGTCTGCACGATTTGTCTAGCTGTTTAGAGGGTGGCCACTATGCTCTTTGGGCGCACTACAAGCTTAGGTGTACAGTTACGGTGCATAAAACATGTAGATATTTATATATAATATGTGTATATAGTGTAATAACACCACAAATGGTATTGTTGGGGGAGAAAGTTTAGTGCGTGTGACCTTTAATGAGTGAGGGAGCCGCCAGCCGCCATCTGTGTATAGCGACGACTCTTAGTGCCTGAACTAACTATATCAGCTTAGCTGTACAGTTGTGGTGAACAAAATATACACATACTTATATATAACGTCTGTATATAGTGTAATAACACCACAACTGGTATTGTTGGGGGAGAAAGTTTAGTGCGTGTGTTGAGGGAGTGGCAGCGAGTGGCTGGCTGGTGTGTGGCGGTAACTCCTCGTTGCTTTTCGACTCTCAATACCAACTTAGTGGTTCGTTATGGTGACCAAAACATGCCAATACTTATATATAACCTGTGTATAGAGTGTAATAGCAGCAAAACTATTTGTTTATAGTTTTATAAACATAATAATTGAATCACTAATATGCACATCATACTTTTGAGTATAGCGATTATTAACCACTTTTATTATATAAATATATTACAATACACACTATTGAATAATATTACTGCAAAAAAACTAAGAAAAAATCAATCGGAGACATTGAAACAATTAGGTAATAATATCTTTGTGGCAACTCCCATCTGTCAGCGCGGGTGACGCTGACCGGGTCTGACGACCGCTCTGTCAACGCCCACTTTTTGCCAGACTTCCTCGGTCAATTGCGCCCAAAATATGTCACCTACGATTTTTTTTTTTATTTTTTCCGTGCTCAGGGGACACAAATTAACATGTTTAGAAGACGAAAAAAAATTTTTGAATTTTTTTTTTCTTGCGCACAGGGGTGTAAATGTCCCAAGGACCCCTGAGCAGTGTAAGGGTTAAAGGATGTTGATTGCGTTTGTGAATGGCATCATTTATTTTCAACCTAATTTTACTAGTGTACAGAGGTCAGGTTGTCTTTCCTGTGGCTATGAAAGATCATCAGGCTGATCCATATGGTATCTTAACATCTGTGAGGACACAACTTCCTTGTGAATGTGACTCAATATTCCTTGTGAATAAGACATCACGTATTTTAAATACGTGATGTCTTATGCTGGGATGTGTGTCTCAACTGGAACCAATAAGAAACATTTACACTGCTCCCATCTAGATGCTTTCCTTGTTCAATCAAAACATCCAAATTTAGCAGGTTGTCTGATATTTTCATATGTATATATATATATATATATATATATATATATATATATATATATATATATATATATATATTGTGACAATAATCTCCTTCAAGAGATTGAGCCTGCTCTTCCCTCCACAAACACGTCGTTGAAATTATATAAAACGACTATGGAAGACATGTCCAACAACAACAACAACACCAGCAAGGCTTGCCAGGGTGAGCAAAACATATGCAGCCAGCCACCTGTTCGGACTCAAACCACCAAACTACATGTTGATCGCTACCGGCTCCGCTGATTGGTCGCCGGTCTGGCTGCACCTGCACTCGCCCCCCCATACTACTTGATGTCTGGGGTCGCCCCAACCTCCTACCTCAGAATGTTCAGTGCTCTCGTTGTTACCACTCCTCCCGGCTAGACGCTAGCGTGTACTGAGGGAAGTGGTAGCTTAAGCCAATATTCCAGCACCTCCCATTTACTTGTATATTGCACTTCTTGTTATTTTGTCTTAACGTAACTTTTCATTGTGTCATTTAAGTATTCTTATTATTTTGATTGATTTTATTATAAGAATTTGTTTGTGCATTTTATTCATGTTTTGATTTAATTAACGTAATTAAAATTTCATTGTTAAAGTTTACTTGTGTTTTGTGTGTCTTCTCCTTACCTTACCACAGACGAAGTTCCAGTTTTTTCTATTTTTTTTTATAACTATGTGACGAGGCCATACCCCTAGCCTTAAACAGCCGAACACCAACGCGTTACCGTCACAAGTTATATGGGGGCCTGTCCTAGGAGCTTCACTCAGGTACTGGTGCCAAGTGGTAATTTATGGTAAGCGTATTTAACTTTGTTAACGTAGCTTTACTATTTTTCATATTCAATTTCATTTTTTATAAGGTGCGGTGTATTGTGCATTACGAGAGTAACATATAGTGAAGGTGAGACAACTTTGGATTACGTGGTGACTGTAGGCCTCAGTCATACTCTTAATTGGTCATCTCTCCCTCCTTGTTATTACTCGTATTTACCATCTATGTCCCTTGAATATTTCTCATTCTGACAGATCATCATATTGGTACCCTGGTACTGTGGTCTGCCCCGGGTCAAGAGTACCCAATCTTCTGCAATCTGACTGTAGGAGGACAAAGAGGGCCATAGTTCCTCTAGCTCGAACTTTAGTTGCTGAATTGGGACCTCAGCAGCAGTTCTCGTCACAAGTTGACACCTCGCACCCCTACACGTCAGTCAGAGATGATGATACATACAACGGTAGGGAATTAGCTTATTTTTTCAGAGCACAAAAGTTCGCTAATTCTGTAAGTATCATATTAAATTCAGTAGGAAAAACTTGCTTTATGTCCTATAGAGACTTGGCAAGGTATGCCTACATCCTTGGACTACCAATTTTACTTTTG